AAAAAAAAAAAAAAAAAAACGCACACGCCATGATTTTATCTCCCAGCTGTCGGCATGAACCAGACTGGAACAGACTGGAACAGTCCAACATTGTCCCATCAGTCCTCACCCTCATATGATATTTATAATTTAGCCCCTCACTCAGATCGTCTACGTAAACCTAGGTGCATGTTTACTTTGAACCCGACAGTAGCTGTGTGGTATGACAGTGCTTTAACCAGACATTAAGCAGAACGGAAATCATTGAAATGCTCCCTTTTCCTTTAATGCATAAAGAACAGTGAGATTTTTCCTTATGGGTCCACACAGTGCTGATGATTTTATGTTACTGTAAAGTATCTTGAAGGTAATCTCATTTACAAGAGAGACCTGGATAACATTAGGTGTGTAACACAAGGCTGTATCTGTTCATGTCATAAAAATATCAGTTTTTTTGTTTTTGTATTCAGATTATACCATCAGTGGGCATGATTTATCAGGGTTCCTACTCAGAAATTATTTTTTCTTGACAATACAGGACAGGTGCCCAGAATAGCACTCTCCAGCAAACTGACCACAGTTCTTTAACTGTAACATTAATTTAGCCAGAGCCCATACATACAAAAATTCAAGTAGAATTTATTTTAGCTTACAGAAAATTCATCTTCTCATCTATTAGCCTGTTAAAAGAATATGTAAATGTGACCATCTGCAGCATTTCCAAAATAGACTTGACGCAAAAAGTTTGCTGCAAGTGGTGTGAACAGCTCCTGACTGACATGGAGCAGAAATGGAAAAGGAGCATTTTTCCCTTCCGCTTTGCTTCTGGTATACAGTGTAACCCTACCTTCAAAAAAAATAAAAAAGTCTTAAGTGAGTCTAAATAAAAGCCGTGTTACTGTTAATTACTGTTAATGGTGCAGATGGAAATTAAAAGTGGAAATAGAACAGGAGGTTAGTCCGCACTGGGCCATTTTCCAAAAATCTTATTTACATTATTCATTCACAAAAACATGAGAACCTGAGTGGCATAACGGACCAGAGAGAGTCTTCTGTCGGTCCATGTGACTTCATATTTACACCTGTGGGTTGGTTCGTAAAAAGCCAGTGTGAGCACTTACCGGTCCAGAAGTAAAAGGCAGCATTGAATCAAGTTTTTCTTTGGTCCAGACGATTCACAGGTGTGAATGCGTCTGAGAATGTGTTCCGCAGAGGAGGCTGGAAAACACTTTCCTTTGCTTATTTTATATTAACTCCAGCAGCCTCTTTTCTACTTAGAAAAAATATTTTCTCACAAAAAAAAATCATGTAAGCATCAGAGTTGCCCATTTATGTAACGATCTGAAACTTTCCCTCTGAGCTCAGAGTGTCAGCAGAATGTAAAAAGCCTCCAAAGCAACACATGAATTTGGAAAGGTTCTAACCTTTTGAGTGAATCAAAAAGTCTGTTTGAAGCTCCGGCTGTAGATCACGTCAAAAAATAAAATAAATGAAGCGAAGAAGTTCAAGGTCTGGTCAAAAGCTTTTTTCTGAGGTCTAACACTTTTTCTCAAGTAGGTGCGTTAAGTACTGAAGCGATGATGAATAACAAGTCTGAGATGCAAAGATCTTCTCTTGTTTTCCTTTTTTTTAAACCACATTCTGTTTGTTTTTGTCTTTTTTGATTCTTTCACGGGGTTTTGAGAGGCTGACCTCGTGCGGAGACCTGTGCATATTTCAGGTTGCCATGGGTTACAGTAATTAAAACCTATTAATCACAGAGCGATGGATAATTAAACGCTAAAAGCAGTTTGTCAGCTAAACGAGCCGAACAAGACACGCAACACCGGTTCGCTCGCACCCCCCTCCATCCGTCCTCCACCTCCTCATCCCCCTCTTCCTCCTCCAAACACCTACACACACTCACAAATCTCTGTTGTGTCTCACCAATCTGAGGCCGGCGGCAAACACCCTCTTGGTTCGACGCAGCGAGAGCTCCTTGTCAAAATGTGTTTAAAAGCGTAGGAAGTGGAGTGTGTGTGTGTGTGTAGGTCCGGTTCAGAGGGCCACTTCCAGACTTTCTATAATTAGTTGCAGGCAATTAGCATCAGCACAGAAATGCAAAGCAGAGCCCATAAAGGAAGGAAAAATCACCTTGAGTCACGTTTTTGTTTATGGAGCTGATTTTCTCCATGTTTTAAGGCCGATTTGAATGCAACACGCTGATGTAAGTTATCTGAGGTTATAAAGATACAATCTTTTAATGGTGGGGGAAAAAGTGTCCAAAAATAGAGTTCATTCTCTTTATGATAATCCTCAGCTGAAGGTGATGTTTTCACCACGTATTTTAGCTACCATTACATCACGGCAGCCAGAGCACAACAGTGGATTTGCAGCGGAAGGAGGAGGAGGAGGAGGAGGAGGAGGAGGAAGGGGTAAAAAAAAAGGAGCTCTTCAATATATCCTCTACTGACGTCTCGTCTCTTCTGGCACCAAACTGGGTCGCCGTGCTAATTCACCCTTGCCAAAGCCAGCCACAGTCACGCACACACGAGACCAGACAAGACACAGAGAGGAGGACGAGGGCACGAGATGGTGAAAGGAAGACGGCTTAAGTGGTGAAGGCTTGTATGTGTGTGTGTGTGTGTGTGTGCAGAGAGAGAAATTAGACATGAATGTGCGTGAATATGTGTGTGTATATGAGCGTGCTTAAGTGGTTCTCCCCTGACAAAGGTGCAGCGCTTTGGCTGAGAGCACGGCATGGTGTGTGTGTGTGTGTGTGTGTGTATATATATGTGTGTGCGTGCGCGTGCAAGGGTTGCGTGACATGCCGTTAAAAGTGTCATGGGGAGGGAGAGCAAAGAAAGACGAAGGGAAAAAGAGAGGAGGGTAGAAAGACTGGTGGAGTGGCTGACTGGACCCCTCGTCCACTTGAGTTTACGTCAAAACAGTGAGTCAGTGTGTACATGTGTGTAGGTGCGTACTTTATGTGTGTCTGTGTGCGTGCCTCCCGGTGCCAGTGAAGAATGGGCTAAAGTGCCCCATACAGTGAGAGCGATCGAGGACACACTGATATGAGACACACACACTTAGGCTGGTCACATCTACTCAGCTCAACCGGGCCCATCCAAGCCTGACACACACACACACACACAGAGGAGAAAGGGGTTGTACTCACACATGTGGGTTAGCTCACTCCTCTGCTCAGTCAATGGACCACAGCCGTCCGCCTACTCTGCGAACTGCACCGAGCCTCTGATGCTTTCATGATTTATGGTTGAGTTTGTAGGAAATAACATAATCCAGCTACTGGAACAGCAATTCACACACTATTCCACCTAAAACAACTACATTAACCCCCTAACATGCAGGTTCCCCCTTTTATTTCCCCCTGTGGGACCTCTAAGGTCTGACAGTATCACAGATATATTCTGTATCGCCTCTTTATTCAAGCTGTATGATGTTTACACTCAGTAAAATATTCAAACCCAAGACTGCACGAGTTTTATACCGCACCATTTAATCAAATAATCCAGATGTTTACCAGAGTTTAAAGCCACTGAGAGCTTGGTTTCAAATCTTAAACATTGCTCAGAAACATTTTTGCAGCGACTAATACATTTCTCTTGTAAAATAATAACAGTTGTAACTTTGAGAGGTTTTGTGTTCATGTGATCAGGACACAAAAAAAGGTAACTAATCCATTACAGGTACATTTAGTAAAAATGAGAATTGTTTAGCAGGATTAAAATAATAAAATTTTTCCTTTAAAAATAAACTGACACAAAGGGCTTTATCTCTTTTTTTCCCTTTTTTTTCTTCTCCTTTTATAAGCTTCAATTGTTCTGTCCTCTTACAGAATACACTAGCATCAAAACTTCTGATATTTCTTTTCTCATGTTTTTATTTAGATATTAGTTGTTGAGGTAATACAAAAGTAACAGAAAGTAGTCAAGTTACATTGACATTAAGTAAACAGTAGGTCTACATTAAGGTAATTGTTAAAAAGTGAAAATGTTCTTTCATAATTCACCATATTATCATAAATATATATCATAAAAAGTGCAAATCCTGCATTTTATTATAGCCTCTACAATATGTAATTAATGTATTACATATTACATTTATGCCATTTATTACAAAGTATGTTTGTTTGTTATTACATAATGC